AAAAAAAAAAAAAAAGTCACTGTAGAGACTTGGCTTTCAGTCATCAGACTAAGTAGACTCATCTCAACTCAGCTTACTTTCCTCCATTCAGTCTTTTTAAGAATACTGATGAGAAAATAAATTTAAAGCCATAATTCTCTGTGCTCATTGTTGCTACCTCCATCCCCCATTGCTTCTAACATTGACATCAGAAAGGCAGTTGACTAGTTTGATGTTATCTATAATTATCTGTAAAGTTACTTTAGAAATAGTCTTCTGAACAGCCAGGCAGAAAGGTGCATTTCCATAATCTCAGCAACCTGGGAGACTGAGACTGGAGAATCATAAGTTCAAGGCCAGCTTCAGCAACTCTGTGAGACCCTGTCTCAAAATAAAAATTAAAAGGGCTGGGATGTAGCTCAGTGGTTAAGTGCCCCTGGGTTAAATCCCAAGTACCCAAAAAAGAAGAAAAAAGGTCTTAGGAAAAAAGTGAGTTAGTATAAATCTAGTAGAAAGAGCATAACACAGGCTTTTGTGTTTGTTTTTTCAGTCATGGGTTAAAATGTGACTCTGTCCTTGACTAGCCATCTGACCTTGATTTAGGTATTTAACTCTGGAATGTCAGAGAATGGTGTTAGGGAGGGGTTATCAAAAACCCACTCATAAAGTTGTTAGGATGATAAAATGCAATTTATTGACTTCAGTAGGGCTGGGATGTAGTTTAGAGGCATTTAGAGGCATCGCATTTACAAAGCCCTGGGTTTGATGCCCAGTTCCAAAAAAGACAACTCCACCCAAAAAAATAAATAAATAAAATAATCATAATAATAAAAGTGACTCTAGTCCCAGTAGGTGGCATCTCAGTGTTCCTTTTCCTTTTCTTACTCTAGTCCCTTTTATTTTAAGTTTTACATTTGTCTTTTTTATTCTAGGTGGATTGTAGACATGGAAGGTGCACCAGGTACCTTATATGAAGGGGAAAAATTTCAACTTCTATTTAAATTTAGTAGTCGATATCCTTTTGACTCTCCTCAGGTAATTGCCTTGCTTTTTAAAATTCTAATGTATTTTTATGTTATAGCAAAATACTGAATAGCAATTTTTGACCAAGTAGAAACTCATTATAAATATGTGAGTGGATTCATTCTTTCATTATCTTACTCGTAATATAATAAATATCTTATCAACATTTTACTTATTGGGATCAGGGTTTTCTTGCCTTGTGATTTTCCATATATTTTAGCATAGAAGGGATTGGAAATCTAACCAGACTCTGAGTTGTGGGAGAATTTAGCATTTTATATTAATTGGGGGCACTTTTTTCTAGATCGGGTCATTGACTAGCATGTTAAACAGGCAAGTGCTCTACTGGAAAGGAGTGTATCCTTGATTATACATTGACATGCTATCTTTGTAGTCTACAAAAGCATAGTACATTAACAGTTGTTAAATATGTATTTATCAGCTCAAAATCTGATCATTATGACTTGAGACACAGTTAATGACCTAATACTTAGACAAGGTATGGTGGTAGTAGAATAACATTTTAATTTATTTTTTATAGCTTTGTATTAAGTATTATAAGTAATATGGAGATGATTTAAAGTGTATGGGAGGATATGTGCARGTTATATGAAAACACTGTGCCGTTTCATATATGGACTTGAGAATCTGTGGATTTATGTGTCCACGGGAAGTCTTAGAACCAGTCTCCCATGGATCCTGAGGGTCAAGTGTATTTCCAGATATCTCTTCCTCTTCTTTCTCTAGTTGAGATCACATATCCACTGATAAAGCTTTAAGCACAATTCATTTGGTTTTCTGGAAATTTTTTAAATGTATCCCTGATTGATTAGTAGGTCCCCAAGCATGTTGAGGGATACTCAGCACTGCTGGAGTCATCTTGGTAGTCCTTGGATAAAGGGCATCCTCTGGTCCTGGAGCCAGGAACTTGTAAGCCTGAATTCTTGGAACGCTGACTAGTCTACAAGTGTAGACAACAAAATAATTCATTTAAGTCTTGATCAAGTTCCTTCTTCAGGCTGGATGTCTGTTAGTCAGCCTTGTGTTGGTGAGACCAAAATACCWAACAGGAACAATTTAGAGAAGAGAAAGTTTATTTTGGCTCATGGTTTCAGAGGTCAGTAGTCAGCCAACCGTGCTCTAGGCCCAAGGTGAAGCAAGACCTCATGGCAGAAGAAGTATTTAATTGGTCAGTGATTAATTGGAGGTTAGAGAAAGGGAGACTTTCAGGTTTGTGGCTTGGTAAGATGGATAAATGAGTTACTAGAAGTACTTTTTCTTCAGAGTATTACTATAATAAAATATTTAGTTTTTAAATTTAAGGATTGTGAGATCTGGCTAAAATAAGATTTAATGCCAACTTTCTTTAATATGCTAACTAATGTGATGTTCTGGGAAATGAACTAAATAAAGGAAGTAGTTCCTAGATAACCCGAAATTCAACTTGTTAGGTWCTAAAATGTGCTATTTTGAGGAAAATCATACTTGCTTTTTTTTCGTTTTTAATATTTTTTAGTTGTAGATGGRCGTAATACCTTTATTTATTTGTGTGTGGTGCTAAGATTGAACCCAGTGCCTCACACATGCAAGGCAAGTGCTCCACCACTGAGCTACAGCCCTACCCCTGGAAAATTATATTTCATTGCTACTTTCAACAGAATATATCACACAAAGATTTTTTTTTTAATTGGTCATGTAAGAGAGTAAATGGAAGTCAGTTATTGTATTGTGCTGTTAAGAAAATTGTTTCCGAGCCGGGGATATGGCTCAAGTAGTAGCGTGCTTGCCTGGCATGCATGAGGCACTGGGTTTGATCCTCAGCATCATATGAAAATAAAATAAAGATATTGTATCCACCTAAAGCTAAAAAATAAATATTTAAAAAAATTGTTTCAAGGTATAGGATTAAATGAACACTGATTCCTTGAGTTCTAAAGTTTCTTTGTGAACAGAAAGCTGTTAAGACTTTTGATGTTTATTTTTACCATTTTTATAAAAATTGAAAGTATAGTCATGCTGTCATGACTTCGAGGCATCTGTAGACTATAATAAAAACCAAAGCAAACATCTTCCTTCTCTCCAAAAAATTACTTTTTCTTGTCTTCTGGTACCCATCCTCTTGTCACCTTCAAACTACTCTTATTTCAATACCAGTGTGACATAGGAACTTAAGACATTTTCAACTAGAGGGAGATTGGAGAAGGGAAGTCAGAATTTTTCATTAGAGGAAAATGWGTTTCTATAAAAATAAAATTTAAAAAAGTGTTCTCTAAACTGTCTCCTTAGTTTCTTCTTTTTTTTTTTAAATGTTTTTAGTTGTAGATGGATGTAATACCTTTATTTATTTATATGTAGTGCTGAGGATGGAACTCAGTGCCTCACAAGTGAAAAGCAAATGCTCTATCACTGAGCCACAACCTCAGCCCCTTCTTAGTTTGTTCTAAGTCAAATATCAATCTTAAACATTTTTATTTTAATTTTTAATATTTCTGTAAGTTATAGCATTTATAATAAGTTCTATCATTTTCATATTTCCTTTATCCTCTTCCTCTGATTTTACCTTCTACCTGTTGTTCTGATATTCCAGATTCTTTATTCAACACTCCCTTATTATTCTCACTCTTCTTTCATCTTCGGTCATCTTAAATAATTGACTCCAGATCTGTCCCTCTAGGTACACTTTTCATTCCTTTTCCTTTTYGTACTATGGATTGAACCCGGAGGTGATTTGCCACTGAGCTACATCTCCCTACCCCCCCCCTTTTTTGGAGACAGAATCTCAGGATCTCAGTAAGTTGCTGAAGCTAGCCTCAGGCTTGCAGTTCTGCTACCTTAGCCTCCCAAGTTACTGTGAGTACCCGGGTTCAATCTCTCGTACCAAAAAAAAAAAAAAAAAAAAAAGGAATCCATATATTCCAAAACAATGGGAACAACTGCCCTAAAGCTTTTCACATTCTAAGAGAAAATTACTGTAAGGTTAAATAGGCAGTTTTCCCATGCTGGTACTTATACCTAGCTTCATACTTATACCTACCTATACACTGCAACCTTTTCTAAGGTTTCATTTCATACCTTTTGGACATAAAATACTTGAATATGTCCACACATTTCAAATTTGACACATCTTACCTGAACCGTTTTCAATAACAAAATATTTTCTTGGGTTACTGTTTATCTACTTTACATAAAATTCTTCCCTTCTCCTTTTATGTGTGCTTTTTCAAATCCTTTTGCAATGACTAAGCTCATTTCTTATTATCATTGCTGTAAGCCCAAGTTTTTATCTTCCAGTTGGACTGTTAGAACAGCCTCTGGTTCTTTATATTATACATCCATTCTTTATTATTTCTTAGATAATAGTTAATACTTTCTTTCTTTGAAAGTATTAATTATTATCTAATTAGTTTTCATATACAAACACATACCCCACCAGAACCCTGCATTCCATTTTTTCCCCACCTTTTTCACCCACTACGGTAAAATCTCTCTATGGTTCTTTATTTTCTATGAAATAAAGTCTTTAGCTTGGCATTCAGGTTCATTTATGGCAGTAAGTACTTAATCATTTCTGCACACTACCTCTGTGCATTTTACTATATAGAATGATGATTCTGTCACAAATACACTTAATAATTTAATTTCTATTCTTCTAACAGCTCTTAAGTGTTTAGGGGAGGTAGAATCAGCCTCATTTAAAAAAATTTTATTATACATGATAGAATAAAAGTATTTTGATACACAAACACACACACACACACACACACAGAGACAAAATGAAGTATAATTCTAATTAGGATCCCTGTCTTGTGCACATGGTATCAAGATTCACTGTGGTCTATTCATATATGTACGAAAAGTTCTGTCAGAWTCATCCCACTATCTTTCCTATTCCTCCTCCCTTCTCTTTGTATTCTTTTCTTTCTTTAAGTGAAGGTCCATTATTTTAAGTGAAGAATTTGAAGCTTGTAGAAGTAAAGTGTCTCATTTATGGTTTGATACCTAGTTGTAAAACAGTCAAGACTTCAATCTCAAGTCTTTTCTCTCCTCCATGCCATACTACCAGCTAGGTATAAGTACCAGCATGGGAAAAGTGCCTATTTAACCTTACAGTAATTTTCTCTTAGAATGTGAAAGATTGTATGTGGAACATGAAAAGCTTTAGGGCAGTTGTTCCCATTGTTTTGGAATATATGGATTCCTTTTTTTTTTTTTTTTGGTACCAGGGGATTGAACCTGGGTACTCAACCACTGAGCCACATCCGCAGCTCTGTTGTATTTTATTTAGAGACGGGATCTCACTGAGTTGCTAAGCCCCTTGCAGTTGCTGAGGTGGYTTTGAATTTGGGATTCTCCTGTCTTAGCCTCCCAAGCTGCTAGGATTACAGGTTTGCTCCACTGTGCCCAGTGGATTCCTTTTTAACATTATTTAATGTTATAGTCCCTCTCATCTCATAGAAATTGTATATTCTAATATCCATTAAGTGAGACAGTGACAATATTCTGGCCAATAATTTTTAAAGTTAACTTGATCATTTTATTAATTTCAGCATCTGTATGATTTTAAAATAAATATAGTGGGTCCAGCAATCAATGCTTGATGTCCATATAGATTTCAAGACTTTTCCTATAACTTGAAACTTGCAGAGGTCCATTACTCTGGGGAAGTGGTTAGAACCATTCTTTTAGGGCAGTAAAATTTCCCATTCACCAAAGGTCTTGATGTAATGCCTCAGCATTGACATTTGTTAGGTCAATTAGTCTTTCATATTTTTGTAGAATCACTACTGAATTTATCATGAGTTATAAGAGTAGGATTTAGAAAACCTGTCTGGAATAGACCAATCTCATTGTGAAATTACTATGATTTTTTCCTCACTGGTTATGATTATTTTCTTACATTGCATCTCATCTTCCTGTTCTCTGTCTAAAATTTGTTTGGCTTGGTCATTTGCTTTAAAAGAAATAACAAGAATGGAGCATGGTGGCACATGTCTGTAATCTCAGCTACCTGG